AGCAGCGGCGGCAGGGGGCGGCGGCGCTGCAGAGGGTGCTACGGATACTGGAGGCGGCACGGCGTGCATCGTTGATCTCAGTGGTGGAAGTCTCCCAGTGCCCGAGGACGTGCATCGCAGCAGCTTGTCCGACGCGGAGTGGGGCAACATGGTGGAAGGCCTGTCGCCTGACTCCCCGATCTCAGATGCCGACAAGAAGCGTCTCATCCAGGAGCTTCGTGCGGAGGCCAACAAGAAATTACGATCGACAGGGTTCCTGGGCGAAGGGAGGTCTCATTCCTAACCCGAAAATATGGAGGGTTCCCACGGTGAACGTCAATATTTTCTCTACGTTCGCTGACTTGTTGGCGACCGAGGATGCGGATGCGAAGTGCCTGATGTTCGATCAGGCGGACGCCATCATGGTTCAGGAGACACATCAGAATTCACATGAATGCGAGGGGGAGTCGTGCAGGATGCGTGTTTTGGGTTGGAACTGCATGCTGTCTCCTGCAGTGGAGTGTATTGATGGGCGTCGTGGTTCAGGTAGTGGTGGGTTGCTCTGTTGTTGTGCGCAGCATCATGGGCTAGGAGTGATCGAAGGAGTGGAATGTGTCATTGTTCCAGGGCAAGCGGCTTGCTGCTTGCATTCTGGATTCTCGAAGGCGGGGGATGTCCTAGTGGACGTGTACCTCCATGACAAGATTGGCATCGCAGCCGCTAACCTGGATATTTTATTCTTGGTGGCGGAGCGCGTGCGCATGATAGGCAGGCCCTACGTGATTGCGGGTGACTTCAACAATGAGCCAGACGATCTGCGAGCAGCAGGAGTGATGGATTGGTTCGATGCGACCATTGTTGGCCCTGGTGTTGGGACCTGTGCCCCTGCGGGCCGCCAGGTCGATTTCTTCTTGGTGCCGGAGGGCCTTGAGGCAGTGGCAGTTCATGTGCACCCCGAGGTGCCACTCAGTCCTCACTCGGTGGTATGTCTACAGATCGCTGCTACTGTGGGCAGGCCCAAGATGCGAGTCTTGCCTGTCCCGCGCCTATTTCCTGATGATCGGCCTGATGGGTGCTCGAGCTTTGGCTCCGAAAGTATGTGGGTCAATATTCGACAGTCCATGCCGACGGGCCAGGTCACACAGGAGCATTTGTCTCGGGGCTGGGAGGCATTCGCGTCAGCTGCTGAGCGGCAATGGGTGGACGTGTTTCAGGCGCCGCCCGATCTGGTTCGAAAAATGCGTGGGCGCGATCGAAGGGTGGGGCCCACATGGGTAGACGCATTGCCCAGGCTGCCTCCCAGGTTCCCCCGTGCGTCGCCTGCCGTTCTGGCTTCGGAGCATTGGTGTAGCGCTCAGATTTGCTGGTTACTGGCAGCAGCCTCTTACTCGCATGCGTGCGCTTTCTTCGGCTCGCAAGCTTATTCGCACGGCGCCTGCGGCAGTGACCTCGGTACCTGATGGAGATGTGGGACGCTGGTGGTGTATGCTGTCATTGATTCCTTTGGGGGATATGGAGGCGTGGGCTCTGCAGATTCTGGCTAGCGCGGTCAAGCATCGAGCTGCACAGCTGGCAGAACGTGATATGAAGCAACGCATCGGCGAGTTCAGGAAGTGGGTCACTGCTCAAGCGGGCACAGGTGCTGGAGGTCTGTTCGCCATCGCGCGTGAGAAGGTTCCTTGGGCCCCCTGCGCCCCTGATCGGGAACGTGCTCACCTTCTTGTTGCAAGAGGAGTGGTCCCGCTGGTGGAAGGCGGGGCAGTGGCATCAGCGCGTCAGTTGGCCTGGAGAGCTGGGTGAACGGCCCCCCAGGCCTAGCGTCGAGCTGGTGGGGAAGGCCCTTCGGACATTCAAGAAGACCTCAGGCGTTGGGTTTGATTATATTCGTCCGAGACATTTGTTGGAGCTTGATGACACGGCACTGGAGTGTCCTATTGATCTTCTGATGTCGATCGAGGCGTCGGCGCAGTGGCCCAAGTTCAGCACCAAAATTGCCTTCTTACAGAAGAGGCCTGGCGGAGTTCGACCGGTTGCTCTGGTCCATGTCTCGGCGAGAATGCAGGCCCGCTCGCGGCGCCCGCTGGCTTTGTCTTGGGAGAAGGCCAATCAGAGGTCTTACTTCTGGGCGTGTGCGGGGAAGTCTTGTGAACGGACGGTGTGGCAGCAATCTGTTTGGTCCGAATGGGCAACGTGCAAGTCTCGGGAAGATGGGTCTCGTGAGGGGCTCTGGTGCTCGGCTCTGGTTCTCCTGGACCTCTTGAAGGCCTTCGAACAGGTCCAGCATCATGGGCTCCTTCAAGCTGCGGTGGCGACTGGGTTTCCTCTATGGCAGTTGAGGCTCCAGGTGGAGCTGCATCGTATGCAGAGGTTTCTTGCGTTGGGGGCGGCGGTGTCTTAGGGTATTGTTACGGAACAAACGGTTCTTCCAGGGGATGGCTGGGCGACAACGAAGCTTAAGTTAGCGCTCATCCTTCCCCTGGACAAGGTGCACTCACTACATCGAATGGTCATGCCTATGGTGGTGGTTGATGATCTGTTGTTGCAACGTGTGGGCGGGCGTGATCGTGTGCGTCGTGAACTAGTTCATACAAGGATCTGCAGAGCACTCTGGCTGAACATGATTTGCATGTGCACACCGATAAACCACGTGTCTTGTACAACGATGCGATGGCGCGTGGGGCGATCGCATGTCAGCTGGCTCGAACCACGGGTGCGACTGCAGTGGGGCATGCGAGGAATTTGGGAGTTGATTGTACTGCGGGAAGGCGCATTTATTTGCCACACTGTTCGTCGATCTAAGGTGATTCAAGCTCGACTGAAGGTCAGGAACACGAAGAAGCTCTGGGCAGGTATCAAGAAACGTATTGTAGCAGCGCGGATTGCTCGAGCTGGCATTGAGGCGACCGACCTACTCGCATGGCATGTCGGTCACTGGGCGCAGTGCCGGTGAATTGGAGTCGGCTCGCGCCCTTGCTTTCTCAGCCATCGAGCCGCGAACGGCAGGAAAGAGCAGGGCTTTGACTTTCTCATGCCACGGCAAGATCGATCCGCTCTACAGGGCGACGCTGCTGCCGATCGTAGCCTTCGCGCGGGCCATTTGGGAGTCCTGGGTGCCTGCCCGTGTTCTGGCGGCGTCGATGTTGGGCTGCCAGGGGATCAATCACTGGACGCAGGTTCAAGGTCCTTGTGGGGCCGTTCGGCTTTCTCTGGAGCGCGTTGGCTGGACGGTCACAGAACCCTTTCGGTGGCCCACGCACGAAGGTGACCTGATCGATGTGAGGGAGGTGTGTCCGTGGTTCATCACGCAGTTACTGGAGAGGGCGATTCTAGCAATGCAGTGGGTGCATGTTTCCCTGGGCGAGTCTCTGGGGCATCTGGAGAAAAGGCGCTGTCTGGGAGCCGATCCGTCTCTTGTTGTCCACGGGCCGATGTGTTTCCCAGGAGTGCAAAAACCTGCCGAGACTGGATTTCGCTCAACGAGGTTTACCTTAGATCTGTGGTCGCGAATGGTCAGTGGCCGATGTCCAGGAAGTTCGAGGCAGGGCACGTGGAGAATGATGGCTGCCTGTTGTGCGATTCGACGGGCACGCTTTTACGCAGACACTTCTTCTGCGAGGGAGAGGATCATCTGCGCGTGCCTCCTGAGTTTCGTGTCCTGACTGATCGTGCTGACGAACCAGCGGTGAAGCTATTGCTGGAAAGATGTCGGTGGGCAGCTACTCAGGCGCCCGTGGGATGGAGGCCCCCAAGTGAGCAGCAGGTTGTACGGGGCAGGCGTGAGGGCGTAGGTTTGATTCAAGCGCGTGAGGCCTACCTTGACGGATCCGCTTTTGAGGGCGATTGGGCGACTGGCGCTGTGGCTGGCTGGGCCATCGTCACGCTCGCGTCGGATCCGCGTGGAATCCTGGATGTGGTTTACGGCCTCTGCGACGGCCCCGTTAGAGACACTGACGGGGCTGAATTGACTGCTCTTATTCAGCTGCTGAAAGTGGCGATGCCCCCGACCGAGGCCGTCACTGACAGCAACTTTGTCTTTGAAGGCATTTGTGTTCGAGGGCCCGACAGGACCGCGGCTCTCTGTTGTGCGTGGGCTTCTTTGTGGCGTGTCTTTTGGGGGGTTTCAGGAGATGTCGGAGGTCTCGGCGTGAACGGCTTGGTGGTGCGAAAGATAAAGGCGCATTCCACCACCCAAGCCGTGGTGTCGGGGCTCGTGTCTAGACGCGACAAATTCGGAAATCATCAGGCCGATGCGTGGGCCAAGCATTCGGCTGCTAGAGTGCGTGTGCCCGTCGAGACTAGGATGAGGCGGCTGAAGTCGCTTGCGCTTGTGGAGCGCGTCGCGCACTGGCTTGGCACCGTCGGGGCTGCGACGAATAGTCGGGGTTGTGTCGTCGATCGCCGTTCGGCTCGTCCGATTCGGCCCCGCGCGGCTGGCCTGATTCGGCCCGTGCGACCGATTCTCGAGCATGATTGATATGGTCCCGACGGCAGCCGCTGGTGCCGCCGCTGCCGCGTTTCAGAGCCTGGGCAGGCCGAGCGCCCAGGGTCAATTGTTTCCAGAGCTGTTGAGGCCTCCAGGCAGCTTGAGGCAAGAGGAGAGAGGCCGCATAAGTTGGTTGCTCTCGACACGGAGCCCTCTCCTCTCTTTGGGCTCAGAATAATCCGTCGATCGCGTGCTTAGCATGTGGTTCCTTTTCCGCCAGACAGTTGAAGAGTCTCCTTGCACCCTGTAAGAGGCTTGGGGCTCATGGGATTAAAGCCCTCAGGAGACTCGAAGCTGGCTTGCTCCCTGAGGGAGCGCGTGTGGCTGCCTGCCTTACAGAGGTCTAGGCTGCCAGGTGGTTGTGAGGCGCTCGGATGCGCGTTTCGATGAGTCAGGCAGAAGAGGAGGAGGAGGAGGAGGAGGAGGAGGAGGAAAGGGAGGAGGAGGAGCAGGAAGAGGAGGAGGAGGGAGTGAAAAGGGGCTCGCTGGGCGGCGTGGCGGGTGGCGGGAGCGGGCCACGGACGCTCTCTGCGCCCAGGCGCCGGCGGCGCGTCCTTGCCGACAGGCCCGGCGCAGAGGTCGTCGTCGGCCGCGCCCCTGCCTGTGGCGCCGACGCCCGCTGCTTGCCCAGACGTGCTCGCGTCGCGGTTTAAACATAAAAACATTTGGCGTTTCGCGCGAAGCGCCAAAAGCTTATGTTTATGTAATTTTTCTATTTCGACAGACATGCTCGCGTCGTGGAAGGTCAGGTCATCGTTTTCTTATTCGTTGTTTTTTGCCGATCGGCGCGGGCCCTCGCACCCCCTCCCCCCCCATGTATCAGATCTTGGCTGTTTTTGGCGCCTGTTGCAAGCAGGTGGAGTCTCTCCCACAGGACGCACGGTTGCGAACAGTCGCGTTAAGCAGAAGACCGTAGCCAGACATCCCCTCCCCCCCCCTCGCCCAATGCCGACACGCCGAACAAGAAAATGTTCACCAGGTCGGGAGGTTTTTCGCCGTCTTCGGCCCCTGGGTGCCATTACTGAGCCCTGGGACCGTCGCAAAACAACTGAGGATGAAAATCTGGTCCTGGGGGAAGGGGCCGGGCTTCCAGGGACCCCGCGTTGCAAAAGTTATTAATCCCGTGCCGACGCCCGCTGTTTCCTCCCCCCCTCTCTCGGGTTTGGTAGCAGACGTCTGGTAATCGATGGGAAGGTGCCGATTTAGTGTTGAATAGCGTCGGCGGTTCCAGTGATCTGCCACCGAAGGACCCAGACTCCCAACGTTTTGACAACATAGTCCCTTGTTCCTGTATAGCCAGGCCTTCGCATTTCCAATTGTGAGGACAACGGAGTACAACACGAGTCAAAGCAGGCGTCAAAGTTACGAAGGACCAGTCGTTCTTACGGCAAGCGGCAAGACATAAAACACATCTTTAAGCTGTACGCGGTCAGCGGTAAGCGGTCGGCGGTTGAGCGGGCACCGCGCAACAAAAAATCATCCGCCGTTCCGTGCCGTATCGATGCTAAGCGCCGCATCGGGCCGTTGAAGTGTTAATCCGATAAGAACCGAGACAAAGTCTCGAGTGATAGCGCGATCTTCAAGTACATCGTTACGAAATCCAAAGCGAGAGCGTAATCCCTGAGTGTCGAGGGCGCGGCGCTTCCATGAATTTGTAGGAAAGGCCACGCGAGAGCGCGACCCCTGGATGGGGTATGAAGAAGGTTCAGGCGAGAGCGCGATTTTGAGTAACTTGTGAAGGAGTATGAACACCGCTGTTGTGGTAAACCGCAGGCCAATGGCACAGTCTGAGGCCCAAGCGTCCCCCGTGTAAAACACACGGTTCGAGCCCTGGGGAAAGCGTTTGGATTGAAGAACACCGGGTGCACCGGGATGGGGACATCAACAACGATCACTCTGTAGCAGGGCGAACTTAACGCAAATGCACAATAACGTAGCAACAATCCGCACCGCGGAACCCCCCTTCAGCCACGCGCCCAGTGACTGTGAATGACCGTCCAGCCCCTCACCCCTGATAAATCGTTCCACTTAGCCCGGCCTGGGGGTTGCTAGTTGGATAGGGGGTTACTAGCGGATGCCAGTGTGGATCATATCCGGCCAAATCCAGCTCATCATAAGCGGCCACAAGCGGATCAGGGGGTAAAGATCCTAGCTAAGTGGGTTCCGTCCACGTAGCGGAGTTATCTACCCCCGTTCGCCGTTTTGGAACTTGTAGCCTATTGGTAAGCTAGGTTTGGCCCGATGCCTTTTACCCGGGAGTCCACTCGGAACCTTGCTATCCCCCCAGCCCCCCCGAGCCGACCAGAACAGAGCGTTCCCAAACGCTCTCAGTCGGAGCGTTTTTGGAATTTCACGGAAGGGCCGCGGTGCCTCATGCATCCTCCAGAACCGCCGGATCCCAGAGATCCCCGATTGAGCCCCGTCCAGTTCTGTCCTGGCCTTGGCTTCGCCTTCCCAGACGGGTCCTCAAGGTAATGGGTCCTGAGGCGTTTTGCTAATCTTCGGGCTCTCGGGGCCCCCCAGGCCCCCCGGGCTTTCAGAAGCCCGCTCAGGGTGAGTAGTGCTCGGCGACTGCATCGGGCCTTGTCGATGATCTATAGGACGTGTGTGAGCCCGAGTATGTGTTTATCCCGCTCGGTTCCGCCCATAGCGCGCAGCCTATGCCGGCCCTCGTTGCGCCGTCTACGCCGTATCGAAGGGCCTCGGTGGACAAACACACGTTGGCGCTCACACCCGTCCTGAGGATTACCGGTCTGGCTTGGCCAGCGTGCGGTTTGCGATCCGCGGGGGTGTTTGGGGGCACCACGCTTCCCTTGTCGGGCCTCCTCGAGGCGTGGCGGAGAACGCGCTGTCGAGGTCCGCGCCCGCCCCCCGAAGGTGCGGCTGCAAGACACGCCTTTGGCAGACCCTAAGTCGGGCACGTCCCTCTACAGGAGGACTATTCAGAATAGTCAAAGAATGATCTGGGGACGTTTCGAGCATTTGTTAACCAATTTGGGATATTTGTTTTGACATTTGTTCCAGTTGTCCTCCAAGATCCCCTTGCAGGAGGACATGCCCGACCTCTAGCAAAAACCGCACCCTTCGGAGTCGCTAGGAGTGGGCCCTCGGGGGCCCGGCCTGCTGCATGCCACTGTGCGCCGCCCCGCAGGGGGCACCCCACATCGGCCAGGTTCTCTCTCGGGCCGGGCGAAAGGGGGGGTTTGGGAAAGGGGGGGTTACGAAATTTGCTGCATGCAGCTGGTTTCGGCCTCACCGAGGGGCCCATTCCTCGATACATGGCCGCTCCTGGCGCCGGGAGGCGCGGGGAAAATCAGCTACGTGAGCTGATTCTCAAACCCCCCCTTTGCTATCCCCCCCTTTCGCCCGACCCGACTCTCCCCTGGAGGGCTCCCCGAAGGCTGCCGCTCTCCCGGGGCCGCTTCTTCGGGGCGCTGCGGCGCTGCCTGCGTGAGGCAGGGGTCGGGGCGTTGGGCCTCCCAGGGCGCTGGTCACCACGCAACAACCCACCCCAACCCAACCCGAAGGCCCCGATTTGCCAACCATCTCCAGTATGGGGGGATCGGGAAACATAGAAAAAACACATGTAGAACCCATACCCCCCCCAACCCGAAATTCGGGTCTTCGGGTTGGGTTGGGGTGGTCTGGTAGGTAGTCAGCTGGAGGGAACAAAAACACACACACACACACAAACAGACACAATTCATCGTCGATTCCCCAGAAAAGTATGGGGAAAATGGGAAGTGGGGGGGAAGACGAGAGGCCGAAAGATGTGGGGAACTATGGGGGACCCTGTTCTTCGTGTGTGTATTTATCCGTGTGCCTCATGGCCCCTTCACAGGTCGCCGGCCGAGGCGCCCGTCTCTGGAGGCCCGAGGTCGCGACAGAGGCGAGGCGTCGCGAGCAGACTCGGCTCAACCTCGACCAGGGCCGTGGGCCCCCTCTTCCCGCCGCACTTCTTGTTTTTGTTTGTTTCGAGCCGGGTCGCTGCGAGGGGGTCCTTCGAGGGTTCTTCGACCACCCACTGACGTCGGATCCCCGACGACGACGACGACGACAACGACGACGGCGAGGGCGCGGGCGAGAGCGATGACGAGGACGATGAGAGTAGGAGAGCAGGAGGACCCGACGCCGACGAGCAAATGCGGCGAGGACGCAGAGGCAGGATCGCCCGTTGCGAGCAGCCTCTTCCGCCAGCAGCGAGGCGGGGCAGTCCGCCCCAGCGTGGCAGCGCCGCAGGGGCATTGCAGAGCGAATGGGCCGGCACGCAGGAGGGGGGGAGGAGGGCAGGCACCATTCGGGTATAGCCAGGACGTTTACCATGAAGGGGCCCAATGACACACAAATAAATACACAAATAAACTATCCCAGCATATTTTCCCATATTTTCTGGGTCTCTGTCTTCCCGCCCACTTCCCATATTTTCCCATATTTTCTGGGGGATCGAGGATTAATTGTGTCTGTGTGTTTCTTTTCCTCCTGATACCAGCCTGGAACATATTCCTATCCCTATGTTTGACATCACCTCACCTCGAGGCCGATCTTGAGGATTCACCCAGTTTTTGAGGGCCTGTCCCTAAGATTGTCCTCGCTTTTTGTTCGCCCATCTTAGGGATAGGGATACGTTCGAGGCTGGTTAAGGACCCCAGGCAGGGGGATCCGGTTGCGTTCCACTGCTCGCCAAAGTGCCCACTCGCAGTCGTCCAGAGGCCACATGTTCGCCCTCGATGTAAGGTGTCGTGAATCCTTCGCGGCTGCTCCAGGCCATCTGCGAGTAGTGACTCTGCGAGTAGCGGAACGCGCTCGCCTAGGCAGGGCCCCGGAGCCCCTCAAGTGAAATCCTTAAACCAGGTCTGCCGTAGCTGGTGTTCTTTCTGGGGGACGGCAGTTCTGGTTCGTGGAACGGGGCGGGGGGGGCGTCCCCCATCACCAAACCAGGTCCCACTACACCCAGTTCTGCCAACGCCCGAGCCGAGGCGGAGGAGGAGGAGGAGGAGGAGGAGGAGGAGGACAGGCACCGTGTGGCGCCAGAGTCTCTCTGGATGAGCGTGGGCTCCCCGCCATGGGGGGGGGCGCTGAGGTCCGGTGCGGGCCGCTCTCGCCACGCCCTGCCCCCGCCCCCGCCCCCCGTCGGCGCTTGTCGGGCAGGAGGAAAATTCACACAGACACGATTCCGCGTCGCCTCCCAGGGAAATGGGGGAAACGCATGATGTAAGATTGAGTTTTGTTTCGATTTTTAGATCCACCATCTTTCTTGCATGCGCGGTTTCTTGCCGTATGGTTTCACGCCGTCCGTCTCCGCTTGCGGAGCGAGCGGCCTCCAGGCCCCTCGACTGGGGGGGGAGGGCGCAAACTCAGAACATAGGGGAACATATGGGGAGTGGGGGGAAGACGAAATCCTAGGAAAGGAGGGGACATCTGGGAACTGGGGGGGAGACGAGCACCCAGAACATATTGGAAGCACGTCTGGGAACACATAGGAGGTTATATAGGGAGTGGGGGGGGGGGAAGACGAAGACCCAGAACATAGGGGACTGTATGGGAAATCCTGGGATATGTGCCTGTTTATGTGTGTGTGTGTGTGTCCCTGGGCCCCTTTAGCTTTTGGGCAGGCCCAGGATCGGCCCGAACGAGCATACCCCCAAAAGCCCTGGGGGGTAGATGAGCGTCTTCTGCCGTGGGCTTGGTATACAAAAGTCCCCCCCCCGTGGGGCGATTCTAAACGTGACTCCCGGAATGTGACTCAGGTGGAATCTAGACCTCCCAGATGGGGTCGGAGTAGATGGGGTCGGAGGATCGCACCGCATCGCCGATGCGGCTCGATGTGGAGCACGATTTTCTCTACGCCGACGACTCCGATGCATCGCCGACCTTGCTCTCATGCATCGCTAGTGCATCGCTATTGCATCGCCGATGCATCGCCGATGCTTCGCCGATGTACCGGCGATGCGGCGCGATCCTCGGACCCCATTTACGCCAAACCCTTCTAGGAGGCCTCTACTGGGGCGGGGCGGGTGTGGTACACAAACAAGTCCAGAGGACTAGGATCGGCATGCGTCGATCCAGAGCGTTCCGCAGCGCTGCCAGAGCGTTCCGCAGCGCTGCCAGCACGGCCGCGGCGCCCGCCAGATCTGTCCCGATCAATTTGTTTTGTCTCCGATCCTGGCTTCGTCGTGGGTCAGCGCCGAATCATCCAGGTCTGTGGGCAGGAGTAGCTCCTGATTCGTGCCTCGGGGGCTCAAACCGCGGCTGCCCCAGACCGAAGGTAGACTGGACAATTCGGGCGTGCAGCCATTTCCGAATCATCGGGGTGGGGGTGGTCAGGGGCAATTCCTGGTGCCTGCGTCGGGGGCCCAAACTGGAGTTTGTCTGGGCCAGAGTTTTTCGGTAGCAAGCCATGTGTGCGTGCTTTAGCGTCTGGTAATCGATGAGACGCGCAGATTTAGCGTTGATTAGCGTCGATTAGCGTAGACTAGCATCGACCCGCAAGAGCCAGCCAGATGTCATGGGAGACTCCCATGAGCTGCCCCGGCAGGAACTCACCTGAATAACCCGAACGTTCAATCAGTCAGTATGGTTGAACCGACCCTATCCCCATCCTCATCTAGACCCCCACCATCTCAGCACCCCAGTTGCGGATGTACCCCCCGAATCCCGAAGGGAACCGCCTACATCCCCATCTGGGGGGGTCAATCGGCCAGAGGGGCCCAGGCCCACACCCATGGGGAGAGGGGTCGGTTGGACGATGCTCAGCTGAGCGACGCAAGAAAGCGGGGCCGTCTTCGCCGACACTCGCGCGTAAGCTGCCCGCGTAAGGTCGCGCGTGAGCGCCACGGAGCGGGCCGCGCCGGCGGCCCGCGCAAGCCGCCTCGGAGGGTCGCTGTGCCATCTTGCGAGAGACCCGCTTCCTGTCGTCGCTCCAGCATCGGTAGGCCCGTGCCGTGTCGACGGGCGACGACCCCGCCTCTGGCGTTCCACGTGGAACGCCGCTGGCGACCCAGAAGCAGTCGATGTTGAGCGATCTGACGTGTCGGAAACGGCCGATCGTGCAAGGTTGAGCGATCCCCGCGGTGTCAGGAACCAACGCCGGGGTCGACGCGACGCGAACCCGCGGTAGGGGGAGGGTGGAAAGCCTCTTGGGAGGCGCCGGCCTTGTCTGGAGATGTCGGGCCGGCGCCGTCTAAGAGGCAGCCCCGCTTCTTGTCGTCGCTCAGTCAGGTGTCGCAGGCGGTTTCCCCCCCCCCAAACGTCAAGTTCTTCGACGAAAACGGAAGCCGCCCAGGAAAGGAGGGAAACCCTGGGCTACACCCCAAGGAGGCTATTCGGACGCACCCCTATCGAGGACGGACGGGGCCCCCATCGTATATCCCAGGGCCGGGCCCCAGATCTCTGGCCCGTTTGAAAACCCCACGCAGCCTGTGAGGAGGGGTCGACATTTCCCCTGTTGAGGTTCGGCGGAAGTCCACCAGCTTTCCCAGGCAGTCTCCGAAGCCTTCCCCGAAGACGCAGCAAGCTCCCCGGGAGGCGCGAGGGCTTCTGAGAAGCCCCGCCGCCTTCTGAGAGGGCCCTCTCCTCCCCGCTTCCGCCCCTCGCTCGCCGCCGAATAGCTGGTCGACGTCTCCCCTGTTCAGGTGCCCTTCACCGGCCACGGCCACCGCCTGGACCGCGGGGAGTGAGCGCCCCGGGGCCGGCGGCCGCGGCCGCGGCCCACTCGCTGGGCAGGCCGCCGAGGGCGCCGCGGGACCGCGACGTTCGCGCGGGTCCTCCGGAGGTTTCCGTCCGCGGCCGGGCTCGCGCCCTGCCGGCGCGGCGGGGCCACAGGATGAGCAGCAGGAGGAGGGGCGCGAAGGCGGAGGAGGGAGGGGGAGGAGGAGGAGGAGGAGGAGAAGGAGCAGGAGGAGGCGGAGGAGGAGGAGGAGGAGGAGGAGGAGGAGGCGGAGGAGGAGGAGGGGGCGGAGGAGGAGGAGTGAAGGTGGAGGAGGAGGAGGCGGGGGAGTAGGAAGGAGGAGGTGGAGGAGGAGGAGGGGCAGGAGCAAAA